CATTCATATTTTTGCGCAGGGGTGTCGTAAAATAAACGGAACGTGAATTTGTTTCTTTTTTTTATCCGAGTTTGATACCATGAAAATTTCATCAACCTTGTTGGTCCAGGTTATATCTATTTTCATAATCTTACATTATGTTTGAATAATAATAATACAGCAACTAGAGTCCGGAGTTAAACCTACCCACCCCCTTTTGCTAACTTCCGAGAAACAAATAATTACACACCCCAGATCTAGATAATCCAGTCCCATCACAAGTTGCGTTTTACTTCTGAACAAACTAACATTTTTAATGCTGAACAAACTGACACTTTTAATAAATAACTTTATATGTCCTGAGTTTGAAAACCTAATAGAAAAAAAAAAATGTAAAATATGATTTAATTCCTTCAAAATCAGATCCTAATAAGAACATAATTGAAAACTTTGAATTAAAAAAAAAAGCGTACAATCTTTTTTTATTATTCCTAAGTTGAAATAGAAAAATTGAACCATTATTTTAAAACCGGAAAGTATAACATTCTTGAAAGTACATGTAGACTGCTCTAAGATGGGACTAGACGACTATTATGCAATATAAACAGGAAATGACAGGTGTCACTACTTAGGGGTGGAACCGAATCCTTGTATATATACACGTGTGATGTACGTCTAGGTTACAATGTACCCCTCGGAATACAGCCCTGGGGGTGAATCTTACAATATATTTTCTATCTAGTGTGTACAGAGTGGGTCGACCATGCTCTACGCGCTGAAGTTATTAAACAATCATGTGCCCCCCCCCCCACCCCTCCCCCATACCTAGTACCATAAATACGCGAATTCTATGCATTTGTAAAATGAGATAAAATATTATTTATATAGAATAACATTTATAAAATAAAGATTAATGGGGGTGGGTAGGGTCGAAAGAATTTTTAAAACTTTTGATTAATGATTTAGACTTTGATATTCCTATCATGCATTTACAATCAAATAAGTCCGAAGATTGCCCGGAGAGTCCATTTTCCTCGTATAAAAAATACAATTAATTTTTTTTTTACAACAGACCGAGAAGAGTAAGGGGTTTACTATTTTTGAGACATAAACGGGTGTGAACAAAAAATCTCGATCATTGCATATCCTGTGCTTGATAAAGGGGCCGAGCAAGGGACGCTTTAGCTTTATTGCGTACATATTAGGCCTAATTTAATGTAATATATGCTTGTAACTGTGGATTAATCATGTGTTGATAAATAAATAAATAAATAAATAAATAAATAAATGAATAAATGAATGAATGAATGAATGAATGAATGAATGAATGAATGAATGGAAAAGTCAACAATGACAAAATATACATAAATCTACTGCAGGTGGGTTATCGTGTATTCGGCACTTTAGTAAACGCTCAGCTTAATTAATAATCGGTATATATTACTACAAATATAAGATGTTTTAAATAGTTTAAGTTGAATTACAAAGATCTATCGGAAATAATTGAAAATATATTACCAAAATTAAGTGTAAATCGATAAAATGAGTAAACCGGGCTCGCTACCCATTTTAGTCACCTTGAAAAGGACAAGCGGCGATAATGATGGATAAACACAACATTTTAACTTAAAACTTTCAGTGAAGGCAAATCTTATAGTAATAAACTATGTTCGTAAATTTCATGAAGAAAGAACGTGTATTTATTCCGTTATTGTCAAAAAAACCGGTTTTCAGTTTCGAAATTCCCGGCCGGTGTCGCATAATATTCGTTCCGGATGTTTAACGTTCCGGCCGGAACCTTAAAATCATAATATTGGTTCCGGATTTTACTGTAACATAGGTTCCGGCCATGAGTTCAATCTTTGAATCGCAATATCTGTCCAGATTTCATTCCACATTGAGTCATTAAAGTAGGGTTTTTTTTTCTTGAGGTTTTAGCATGACGCAGCGACATTCTACATGTATTTTCGTGCGTCGCACAATGTTTTGTGCTTACCAATTTTAAAATATAGACGAATAAATAGCCTGATGATACTCTTTCTGGTACATATGACTTTGGTCGCATTATAAGGCTTTGTTTATATTATGTATACAACGTTTATTTTGACCCGGAACCAATTTAATAGGTATTTAGCGTTCCGGCCGGAACGCTAAGTTACCCGGAACGTATGTTATGCGACACCGGCTCGGCCCGAGTTTCGGTACCCATTTTAGTCACACTACAGAAGAAGACCACCTGTCTGTATGTATAGGCCTAATGATGGAATTCAGAACTTTATTTTAACAAGGATTAATTCACGCAAGTATTAAATCAGTCCGATTGATTTGGCGTGTGTGAATTATTCCATTAACATCACAAAATGTCCAATTGGAATTCTGCTGTCAGTCAGTGTCTGAAGGAATTAGTTTTGTTTACATGTCAGTGATGTAAGTATTTAATATAGCATGCTATGAATTTGGGCCCAATTTGGGGGTTATTTCTTGCAAAACGGAATCAAGCTCTATGTGGTAGATATTAGGGGAATTTACATGGTCAAAAATTAATGTAACTTTTTTTAGTTTTCTGTCTTAGTCTAACTCAACACTCAAGCCAGTCAAGGGAGGAGGAATACATGTATCTGTCAGGGTGTCCCATGTATCAGTAGAGTATGTCACATTGTGCCTGTTTAAGGTTAATCAAGTTCAAGTTCAGCTTATTTATGGATTCTATAACATTAAGGTCTGTGCGAATGAGTTCAATAATTAATCCCTGCATCCTGCATGTACTTTTATGGGGTACTTACAAGGGTGGATCTTAACAACTGCAGTGATATAGATGTGATGTGAAATTTCTATTTTCCTTTTAAAAAACTGTGAACCAAAAATTATCACTTTGAAAACAGAGTACCAATCACACGATATGTATGGAAATACCCTATTATGAAATCTTTAATATTTTTTTTTCTGAATCACGTGAATATCATTCATATCTATGTATTTAACTTCTGAAGGGTGAGAAAATTGCAATTCATGTAACTATGTACATTTACAACCCAAAATGAAACCTGAACTGAAGTCATGAATAGGATCTTCCTAATAATTATGACAGATGTTTTCTATATACAAGAATTCAAGTCTGTATTTCATTTAACCCATTGATTGATTGAATGGAAAAAAAAAACAAGCAAATTCAAAGAATTGTGGTCCCCTGCTTTTGGCGTCCTTATGGATGAGATGTTATTATAATTTATGTACAACATATTTTGTCAAATAAAAATGCCAGGTATCATATGTCATTGAAGAGTTACTGTAGCTCCAAAGTTTTTTTTTCTAATTAGGTCAAATATGAAGGTAAAGGTCAAGGGCTCAGAGTTCTTAGCATGCTCAGAAATATCATGCCACAGACATATTAAAACCATATCTCTTCTAAATCAAAGTCATAAGGATTAAAGGAAAAATTAATATTTTTGAAAAGTATGTCATACTTCAAGGTCAAGATATAATGGTAAAAAATCATGATAGTGTAATCTGTATTAAGAAAGGAATAATTTGCACAGGTAATATCCCTTGCAGAATATTCCTGAGATGTCCTAAGAAATCCTGAGACAATCTCAAGATTTATTCCTCAGATATCTTGAAAAAATCCTAGGATTATTCCTAAGATATCCTGAGATGTTTTTGGAACAGGAATTCCTGGGATTTCCTTGGACAGTCCCAATTCAGGGGTTCTAGAAAAATCCCAGGAATCAAAACACCAAGACTTCCCAGGATATCCCAGGAAAACCCCAACACTTAAAATGTCCTAGGAAATCAGGAATTCCTAGGATTTCCTAGGATATCCTAGCCTCCTAGGACATCTTTTTTTTAAAAAATCATACATAGCAACAAAGCAGAATTATAAGATCTCTGAAAAAAAATTTAATGAATGTATGCATTATAAAAATTCGTGGCCACACAGAAAAAATAATACATAAAATAATTTTTTAAAAATGCTGATGGTATCTGACACAACAAATTCTTTACAATTTTACTGCTGTAACATTATAGTGCAGTTATGATTCAACATCATGATTTACACACAAGGGGGGAAACAGATTGTCTTATTTTCAAACTATGTTAATACATTCTGAAGCAGCTCTCATAGAATATTTATGATATACATGTACAATGACAAATATTAATAATAATAAAAAAAATATTTAAATCAACAACCTAATGTAGAGAGTAGGGGTGAGGCCCTCAGGGTTCATCACTTCTGAAGAATTCTGTACAATAAAAGATTCAGATACCAAACAGAACTAATTCATAACACCCCCCCCCCTAAAAAAACCAAAAACAGTATGTACCTGGTGGCAACAAAGTTTGAAAAAAAAAAAACCAAAAACATATAGGTCAAAGTCACAAGGTCATTAACCTTGATGTAATTTGAAAGAACTTAATTAGTGGAGTATGGATACTCAATATAAAATCTCTACCTCTTTTGGTTCAAAAATAAAAGATTCAATAAGGCTATATTTTAGCATAACGATGACAGTCAAGGTCATTGGTCTTGGTCTCATTTGAAAGTGGAGTAAGCATACCCAATATGAAGTATCTATATCTCTCATGATTCAAAAGTTATGGCAAAAGGTAAATTGGCAATAGGCAGATAAACAGACAGGCAAAAACAATATGTGTCCCCAAAAGAGGCCTTGACCTCTGACCATTTCACTTCAAAATATATAAGGGTAATATTTAATTTATAAACAATATTAAATTTGTATTGATGATTAATCATGTTCTGCAGTGGGATCGTCAAAATGATTTATAATATAAAATGTCATTGCAATGTCTGATGGCTTTTTGGAAATGTAAAGAGAACGAAGTGTTACAGACAAACAGAAAGATAAACAGACCCAAATTAATATCCCCCCCTGCACCTTGTCAATCCAATGTAAGTTGCCCAGCTTTAGTTGGTCACTAATGTATCTTCTTTAGCTGTACATTTTTCTTCTTCATCGCCAGTGGCCTAGTTGCAGATCTTGAAGCCTTGTTTGCGTTTTCTTCACTCGACTTTTCACTTGTCTTTGCTAAAATAAAATTTTACTTAATGTATTCCATTGTTTAGTCTAAATATGTAATTATTTCTAAGGGATGAAAATCAAACTTGTAAAATTTAGTAGCCAAAGATGCTACATGTACCAAGCTTTAAGATTCTACCAGTCCATAAAAATATGTGTTTGCCCAAGTAAGATGAACCATTTTTCTCAAAAGATTTATTTTATTCACACTTGCATAAGGAATAAGGTATGTTAATCAATTGCATACACGACGTGATTAACAAATGATGTCATAATAATCTTACTGAATAGCCTTTTTGTAGAAAATAAAATTTTAATTCGCAATAGTTAACCGCTTTACCACAGCTGTCGTATGAAGTCAATTTACTTGGCATTAAAATACTGTGAATTAAACTTTTCCGTGTGAACAGAACATTAAAATCATACATTAACATTATTTATTTGAACAGCTTACCTTTCTCAGCAATATTCTCCTTGTTGTAATTTGCTTCTTTTCCCTTAGTCCGAGTTAAACAGTCTGCAAAGTTATCAATAAAATTTTTTATAAGACGTGTACATATTTGTTCTTTTGTAATCTAGCTGAAATTAATTTTAATGATGGCTGTCATTGATATTTCTTGCTGATTTTTTTCATTTTTCTGTTCTAAATTTTGTGAATATTATCTTATGAGTTCTATGACATCTGCGTCAGTTTTCCCAACTTAATATAAGTTACAGAGCTTGAAATGTACCATAAACTTTCATAGACGACTTTCACATTTACAAAAGTTATTCCCCTTTGCAGGGTCAATCCATGGTCAACCGGCGTAAGACACTGTTTCCCCTCTATTACCTTACCAACTTTATGGGTCAGTATCTCAGAAATATAGTATGAATGAATTTGTTCATTACGTTTTTAAAGTTGCCCCATATTCTGGCAATACAGTTACAGACCGATATTGTTAGATATAAATGTCTGAAAATAAAAATATTTCCAGGTAACTTACAAAGGACAAAGTGGGAAAAATGAGTGTTACGCCGACAACCGGAGATAACTCTTAGGAATGTGAAATCTGTCTATTCTTTCAAGTTTACAAAAGAAAATTTTAAAAAAGATTACAAGATACCTGAAACTTTCTCTTCATTTGGTAGTCTCAATGGGAGTTTCCAGTCTCATAATCCTTGCCAGGCTTCAAGGTTCTAGCTAGAAGATAACAATGCAATGGAAGATTTAATTAAGAGTATAATTCCAAAATTTACACCATGTCCAAACATTCAATGCAAATTTAACAGTAACTGATAGTAAATATTTGTTTATAAGTCTTCTGCTTACTAAATCTTAACATGTTAAACCTGGAAATATTTCATTGTGTATGTACGTTTGATCTTCATGGACTAGACTGAATTACAGTATGCCCAAAAACCTTTTACAACACATCACATGCACTAAACTATTAAACAATATTTGTGTGTTTAAATACATATTAAAGGAACCACTCGCCACTTACCCCACTGGCCTGTGGCCATGATATCTACACTTCTTCCAACATTCCCTTTACTGCACTCCTAGCGAAACCAAGATTTTTGGGAAAGAGAACATGGTTTATGTGAAGAATTAGAGTCAATCTTGGGCGTAAGTTGAGCATTTCATTACATTTCACCAGTCTCTCTAAACATTGCCGCTCCTTGAACTCCTATTTTGCGCTTCTCGATGAGGTCTCGCGAGAGGATGATACAGGACGGTGTAAAGTTATTTCGTGCCACACCAAGAAAATGCGGTTTGTTTAATTCTTGAAAATAATTTGTGATTAATGTGAATTTACGTTTTTTTTTTTTTTTTTACAAAAAGAAAATATATTTTAGCGAATATTTTCTGACAAATTAATATTCAAAGCTGAGTTGACAGTAAAATATATTTTATACACCGGGTACTAATTGATCGAAGATCACTTTTTTGTACCACCTCTCGGAAGTTCGCGCGAGAGAATGCTGCAGGCACGGTGTAGGGGTATTTTGTACACCTTTTAGAAATATCCCGACATTTTCCTGAAAATCTTGTTTAAAAAAACACGTAATTTATTATCAGTGACAAACGACCCGCATATTAGAAAAATAAAATATAAATATCCTTGATCAACCAATTCTACTAACAGAAAGTGTTACAGAAGAAAATATTTTCGAAGAACCACGATGATACATTTAGGCCAAGAACAATTTGCATGGAAACCGTCCAAACACAAATATGGCGGATCGTGAAGTTGTCACATTGTGCTGTAAACAACGACTTTTCTTCGCATCTACAAGCCTGTCACGATGTCTGTAAGTATCTTATTGCTAAGTGATGAATGAAAATTAGTATATCTGGCAATAAAACCTATAGGGAAAGCGCATTTTTATCGTATTTAATAGTTATGTAACGAATCGAATTTGGTTTAAACCTTTGAAAAGTTTTTTTTGATCTCTGTTTATGTGGATAAAATTTTCAGGAAACTCTATTAGTTTTACTGCGTTTTTTAGATTTTCCTCGTTAAATAAAAGCAATACTCAATATCAAAAACATGAGAAATTATATTCTCAAACTCAATACAACACAATTCTAACCCAACAAAATTTGAAATACCAAGCTTTTTAAGTCAGAAAGTGACGAAAGTATAATGTCACAGACCAAGTCATGCTTCTTGAGTATGCTGTTTATGTAGTATTTAAATTTATGTGGTGTACTCTTCTTTCAATGACTCAATATTTACTTTTCTTTGTATAGTATCTCTGGCAGTTATGGGTGAATATACAGCAAAATCATACAGATTTTGATGAAGATGTTAAAGATAGTAAAGTCAAAGACAGTTTGATGAACCAAATGACACTGATAAAGAAGAAGATACAAAAAAAAGATACTTCTAGCCAGGCATGTGACTTTGAAGCTGATAGTTTGGTAACCACTTGAGAGATATATAACCTGTATGCAGGTGATGACGGTATATGAGAGCCATTTCTTATAACGTGCTCTGAGGAATATATATTTTGTGTCGAAATGAAATGCGAAGTGAAAAATTAAATTGACAGATGAAGAAAATTTACCACTCCATCCTTCTGCATGTATGGTCTTCTGAATTCAAAGCCATTTGAAAACCAACTTTAAGTTAAGAGGAACACTTTATTTTCGGTGAAACATTCCGGAAAATATTACTTCTACATAGAAAGAAAAAGTTGTTGATGTTGTATTGCAAGATGGCCAAGTTTGTATGACCAGTGCTTTCAGAAAACTATGCTTGCACTCAGTTTCCCATGAACGAAGCAATCTAAAGATTAAGTGTAGAATTTAATTCTAATGGATAAAAATCAACTCAGGAATGTGTGATTTGAAAATGGTGAAATATTGTTTGTCTGTAAACATTTTTTTCTTTAAAACATATTACATGTATAACTCCTCCCTGACAGCATCAATATTTCAGAAAGTATTTAATTTAAAAAATAGTTCTAGGGTCAGTGTCTTTCTATGTATCAAGTATAATAGGTAATGATTGAAAATTATTCATTTTATGATTTTCTTGATATTATACATTAAAACTTTAAAAGTAATAAAATTTCCTGTCATTCTGTTTTAACATTTATTAACATGTACAAGTTTGTAAAGTTTAATTTGTCTTTTTTACAAAAGTCCCAACATTAAGTCAAAAGTCTTAGGAAATGGGATTATCATAAAAATGATTAATTCCTGGCTTTACAATGAAATGTCCTGGCAAGATTTGGATTTGAAATGTTTAACAAAGAAGTCCTGGGAGATCCTAGGATGTCCTGAAATCAAATCCCAGGATTGTTACTCCTAGGATTTCCTCAAATCAGATTGTGAGGAAATCTTAGGAATTCTTAGGACATCTTAGGAATTCCTAAGAAGCATTTTCAAGTCAGGAATAATTTCTGCAAGGGACATGTGTAATGTGTAATTTGAACATGTTGAAAGCCCTAGCTCATCATATTCAAAAGATATGACCAAAGTTTAAGTTTTTGTGACATTGATAAGCTGACCATTTAACAGATGACAGATGAATAAGATTTAATGTCCTCTCATATTCACTAAGGTGGGGGACAAAAATCAAAAGAACTCATCAAAAGGGATTGACTGACCTTGACCTGATAATGCATATAGATGCTTTCTGTAAAAATAAACGTCTTCTTACAATAATTAAGTTTTTAGTTAGAAAGTTTAAGTATCATAAGAAAAAGAAATATCATGTTTGACATACATGTAGATCTATTTCAATGAAAAAAAGTGATATTGTCAGAATGAGATCAATATTGCCTTACTGCACCTTGCAGGATGAAATTTAGTTTTATTAATTTTAGAACTTCTTTTTTTCTAATTAGAAACCAAAGAATTTTTTATGAATTCCAATTATATATTACTAATAATTATAATGTACATGATGTATGTAAAGCCTAAATTGATTCGTTATCCAATGTAGATTTAACAGTCGAGCTGGTTGATGACAGAAACTTAAAAAAAATACTAGTAGTAAATAAGGTACCATAAAGGCGTAGTACATGTATACAATGTATATGTTGTCTTATTTCATCATATTCATTGTACCTGCTTTTTTGGCTGATATTAAGTGGTTATTTCAGTTTTTTTTTATTCAGACAGAGTATCATAGAGATGCAATTAATTTCATAATATTCATTCATTCATAAAAATAATAAGGATACCTAACCTAATGATAAAAAAAGAAGAATAAATCAGATTGGTGATCAATATCTAATGACATGATGGCGGATCTAAGGGAATAGTCTGTAGGTTGTAATATTTTCCATCATTTATTGCTTTTCACAATTACCTAAGACATAATGATATCGACATGAATTATTTGTCTTATCTTTTTTTTATGATTATGGCTAATTGATTTCAAACAATTTAGTTTATACCGGTAAGTCATGTATTACCATAGGCATAGTCTAAATTTATGATTGATGGATCCAAGAAGAGTTGATATTGAATTTTTAAATACTTGTGGTGGATCAAAGGATACTAATGACTTTTGCAAATTTATTTCAATGTTTAGCTTATATTTCTGTGTGTGATTATGATCTTAACTAAGAAGTGGTGGATCCAAGGCAAGTGGATATTAATTGTTTTGATAGCCATGAGAGTTGTGGTGGATGTAAGGGGAGTAGATAGATATTTGTTTAATTGGGTCAAAGGATAATAATGATTATGGTTAATTGATTTCAAACATATAGCTTATATATGTCATGTGTGATAAAGATCTAAACTTATAAGTGGTGGATCCAAGGGGAGTGGATATTTATCTTTTTTAAATATTTGTGAATGATCAAAGGATATTAACGATTTATGATTATGGCTAATTTATTTCAAACATTTTGCTTATATGTCATGTGTGAACATGATCTTAATTTAAAAGTGGTGGATTTAAGGGGAGCGGATATTATTTTTAAATATTTGTGGTGGGTAAAAGGATAAAAATGATTATGGATAATTTATTTCAAACTTTAATCTTATATGTCGTGTGTGATCAAGATGGTAACTTATTAGTGGTGGATCCATGGGGAGTGGATATTCATTTTTTTTTAAAGAAATATTTGTCGTGTATCAAGGATATTAATGACTATGGCTGATTGATTTTAAACATTAAGATTATATGTCATGTGTGGTCATGATCTAAACTCATAAGTGGTGGATCCAAGAGGCATAAATATTTTATTTTTAAATATTTGGGTGAATCAAAAGATTTTAATAGTTGTACTTTGTGATATATAACTGAATGAGTTCCATTAATTAAATATGTATATATATTGCACATGAATTACATAAATCCAATCTTATTAGTGGTGAATGCAAGGGGAATGGAGATTTTAAAAAATCCACAAACTAGACATCATATAAACCCAACATATATAAATATATATTAGTTAAGGAAAGATACCCTCTTTCTATTGTTTACATTGTGTTGGTATAAAATTTTCTTGTTTCATTTTTTTTTAAATATTTAGATTAATTGTCATTGATCAAATAATCTGTGAAGAGTTTTTTGATGAATGTTTCATTATGGGAGGCAACTGCCTTAGAAACCTGTTTTCATATAAATCTTTTTTTACATAAGCAAAAATTTGAAGAATGAATACTTGAAAATTTGAAAAATAATAGATATTTGTTATAACTATCCACTTTTATATAATGAGAAACAGAGAAGATACTAATGATCCATTAGTCTAAGAAAAAAACCCAAGTTTTTAGGAATTATCTTACAGTAAATATATCAATAAATGGGATTTAAAACCCCATATGATAAAACGTGGGAGAAAAAACCCCATATGACAATATAAGCAACATATGGGTTTTAAAAACCTACATTGATTTTCGTGGGGTTATTTCCCCCATGGGGTGAAAAATAAACCCCATGGGGCTTTTGTGGGTTTTTTTGTGGGGTATTTTTAAGTTCATGTTTCCCCATGGGATTTTTTTTTTGAACTCAAATATCTCAAAAACTAGCAGAAAATGTTGAATTTTTTTTTCATAAATCAATTTGATTATAAAAACCCCACCATTTAAAAAAAACCCTGAGATGATAGCTTTAAAGGAAAAGGGTGCGCAAGTTCGGAAAAATGTCCATTCCGAAGTTGTCCGTCCCACTGTTTTACTTTTTTTTTCAAATTGAAAAACCAATTTGCACATATTACGCAGAACAGTGACTCCTTTGAAATAGGAATGAAAAATCTAATGAACAGAATATTTATTAATATTATACTGGATT